GTTGAGGTTTCCAGGTGACTTTAAGGGCAGTCCCATATAGAATGCATTGGAGTAATCCAGATGGATTAAGATATAACAGACCCCAAGCAAGGCCTCCTGGTTCAGGAAAGGACACAACTGTTGCATCAGACAAATTTGTGCAAAGACTTCCCTAGCCTCAGCTGGCACCTGCTCCTCAAGCAATAGTTGTGAGTCCAGGAGGACCCACAAATTGTACATAGTTCAGTTCAGGAATGCCACCCCGTCCATAATCAAAGATGGACCATCTGTTCTTGGGATCTAGAAGCTGATAGCCACTCAGTCTTGCTAGGGCTAAGTCAAAGATGAGGGTTCCTCTGAAAACAAGCCACTGCATCTCTTGTGTGGCTAAGGGTGGGGCTATACTGTATAACTGGGTATCAGCATACTGAGAATATCAAACCCCAGATTGTTAGAGTGAATGCAGTTTCAGAGGATCCTCGGAGTTTCCCCTGCTCCCCCCAAAAAATTCTGTTATGGTGGAGTGCTAGACTTTTTGCAGCATTTCAATTAGTCTGGTCTTGATATAACACTGCTCAAGTTATTGAAACCTCTACATAATAAAATTATTATTTACTGAAAAAAGATACAGGTGAACATCCTAAATAGCAATACAAAGCACATTTCAATCTTAATCAGACTTTTATACCAAAAATTATGCGAAACATATTGCCCAATCTAGAATCTTTAAAGAAATTCAAGTTCACTTGAATTTTATTTTAAACATTAAGAAATTTTACTGTGGTTATTTTCAAAGAAAATAATGAGACAATCACTGGCACGGCTTCCAAGCAGTGTGAATTTATTCAGCTATTATAGAAAGTGAGCATAAGACTTGGATAGACAATTTTTTACAGGTAGTTTTTTAATCATCACCGATGACACTTGGCTATTTCCTCTATTAAGTATTGCTTTAAATTTTCTCCATTACATAAGGGTGTTTTTATTTCAATTTCACTTGTTTGTAATTACTATGCAGTATAGTTTTGGTTAACAATTTCAACAGCTTCATTATAAAACATCTTTGTTTGGGCTACAGTACCACCAAGGTGTTAGCATCGATCCATTAAAATATTTACCTGTTTACTGCCAAATAAATCTGGACAATAAAACATTAGGTTTTTGGCCTATCACAAAATATGATTATTTGGTCAATTAAAGTGTTATCCTGCTGATTTGATATGAACATAAACTGATTATTACTGTGCTAAAAAAAAGAGAAGCACTGGAGTAAGAATCTGTAAAATTTTATGATTTGTACACTATAATAGTGATAATTGCAATTCATTCTAAAGAGGAACGTTTAAAAATCACAGGGGTTTTGTCAAATGTAGTAAGTGTATTTAAATTATTAATACTTAGCAACATCACTTTAGGTTTGCTTTCATTAGTGAAACTTCAAAAAGAAACATATTTTAAAAACGTATCTGAAGACATTCAACACAAAAATGCATATTGTGAGAAGTCAATCTATATACATAAAAGAAACTCAATCAACTTGAAAGATGTTTATATACCTAAAAAATAGCAAAGCACAAGCTTTAATTTATTAAGCAATAATCATGAGCAATAATCTGCTCTACCTTTTAAGAGGTTTATCATGTTGACCCATACCTATAAACTGAAGTCGAACAGACAAAACATTGCTTAATAACTTCCACTTCTTTCTAGGAAAGAGATCCATCTCTGGAAATGGAAATTCAACCTTGTGATCTTCTATATCTGCAAACTTGCCATACACCTTACCTTTGTGAGATGAGACCATGCTTGAATCCACAGGATCTAAAATATTCCCATTCCTCCTAAACTATTTTAGAATTTGGAAATATAAATGTTAATCCTGATCAAGTTGTAACAATAAAATAAAAAATCCAAAAACTCTCTAATTCACCCCATTTAACTTTAAAATCTCTTATCTGCCATTACTGATTTGCCAGTCAATTTCCACTGTATCATTTCTGTTCCAACTGATTTACATTTTCAAATGTATAAATACAAACTTAAAATCTCTTTAGAATGTAAACACCTCTTAAGAAACGAAAATATTTATCATTAATTATATTTCTAAGCTGGCCAAGTTAGAATTCTTTTGATACTATCTGTTCCCACAAGTGAATTGTGCTACAAAATAGAACAGAACTACTTATTTCTGCTTACCTGACAAAGTGACTCTCAGAACAGATACAAACAAAACTGCAATGGATCATTCTCATAAATTGCTTTAATGTGACTAACGTTATGCTCCTTGGAATGTTGTTCAACTATCTATTCCAGATAGAACAATTATAAGAGATAATCAGAGCTGCAGATTTGAGATCACATGATATCCATTTTTTTAAAAAAATCATGATAGTAATACTGTTAACAGTCTTAATCTTGCCCCATTGCTTGAGATTTATATTTTAAAATGTTTAAATTAGTGAGTGCAAATACTGTTATTTATTTTTCACATACTTAGCACATTTTCTCAAATGTTACAAGACAAATGATCTTATTCTTCAACAGACTCAGGCCAACTTTCAGCCCATGATTTCCATATAGCAAGAAACTCCTTTAATCACAGTTAGACCTTCCCTGAGGGAAGGGATAAAACAAATTAAACACATTTTATTGAATTAGGTTTTCATTACCCCATTCCTATGGAATTATATTCAGATCTTATTATTCCAAGTTAGGATGTATGTATGATCTGTCAACTGTCAAAGTCCATTACTTGAAAAAATTGTTTAATTATATGATTGGTGCTTTGGACAAAATAAAACATATTCAGCTGTGTGAATAAAAATCTCAACAAAATCTTTTAATCAACAGACTTGAAATATCTTTATAATTTTTATAGTATTCCTCACATTACAATATGTGGAAAATATACAATATTTCACATACAAAAAAGTTTGCTTCAGTGACAATATTGATGATATAAAGTTTTCCAAATCCATACTATTAATATTTTAAGTAATTTTCAAATTGCTCTTTAGCACAACTCAATGTTTTAGATTACCTGAACAATCTAAACTAAAAGAAAACCCCATTTTCAGTTATACAGTAATGGCACCCTCAAAACACAGCAGTTGCACACTTCACTTTCAAAATAATGACTTCATTGCTAATTATTCACTGAATTTAATTCTTATCTCATAACTCTTTAAGAGCTCAGGGAAGCATTTTAGCTTTGCACCAAGAAGATTCATCCTTTAGGCAGCAGATATATTTGGAACGGTTAACATCTTAAGTCAAAGTGTCAAAACAAATTAAATATGAGACGTGTCAAGGGAATTACAACTGAGCATAGCTCCACTAAACCTTCTAAAATACGTAACACTTTAAGGATAGAAAAGAAATTGAATCAAAGTTCAATGCAATGCTCAACCTAATAATCGAACCATTTGCTGCCCTTCAAGGGGTGGAGAGGGCAGGTGATGGATTTGCAGCACTGTACCATATATTGTTGTTGTTGTTAGTTGCAAAGTCGTGTCCCACCCATTGTGACCCTATGGACAACGTTGCTCCAGGCCTTCCTGTCCTCTACCATCCTCTGAAGTCCATTTAAGCTCATGCCTACTGCTTCAGTGACTCCATCCAGCCACCTCATTCTCTGTCATCCCGTTCTTCTTTTGCCCTCAATCTTTCCCAGCATTAGGCTCTTCTCCAGTGAGTCCTTCCTTCTCATTAGGTGGCCAAAGTATTTCAGTTTCATCTTCAGGATCTGGCCTCCTAAAGAGCAGTCAGGGTTGATCTCCTCTAGGACTGACGGGTTTGATCGCCTTGCAGTCCAAGGGACTCGCAGAAATCTTCTCCAGCACCAGAGTTCAAAGGCCTCAATTCTTTGGCGCTCAGCCTTCCTTATGGTCCAACTTTCACAGCCATACTTTGCAATTGGGAAAACCATAGCCTTGACTATACACACTTTTGTTGGCAGGGTACCACACATTAGTTTGGTTAATTAGAAAGGCATACATATTGACAGAGGTCAGAGGCAGCGTTTGCCCATACAGCAGTGTTTCTCAACCTTGGAAGCTTGAAGCAGCGCTGGCTGGGGAGTTCTGGGAGTTGAAGTCCACCCATCTTCAAGCTACCAAGGTTGAGAAACACTGCCATACAGTAACCTATGAGTTAACCCAATTGCCTAGTTTCCACACAATACAATCCAGCCACATTTTGGGCTAACCTCCACTACAAATCTAATCAGAGAGTCAAAAGAGCAGAGGAAAAACATTCAAGTAGCAAGAAGCCAATTGAAAATAGACGACAAGGTCAAGAAGAAGAGGAAGAGGAGGAAACGGCTCCAGGTACAAGATCTGCAATCCATGAAGGCACTCCAGAAGCCCAGAACCTTTTACCAGCCCTTCCTCTATCCTGCATCCAACAACCACCATCCCCAATCACCCGGTCGTGTGTAATCAGAGCCATAATAGGGTCTTATCAACTCTACCGCAGGGCTTGTCAGCCTGAGGATGGGCACCCTCAGGTCCTAAAAGTGCGCCAAGCGGTCATCTCGTCGACTTTGAACTTATTTTAAATATCCCTCTGGGACAATCCGGGCGCTTCGGAGGGGGAAACAATGCACCGATTCCGAATGCCGCGGATGTGTCAGAGGAAGGGCGAAAGGCTGAGGAAACAAATCCTCACCCCACTCGGGAGTGGAGGCACAAGTTCGCGGACGACCCCGGCAAAACGGGGGAGGAAAGCTTATCCCTGGGGATCAAGGCAAGGAGCCTGACCCCCCTGAGGAGAGGAGAGAGGAGACCCCCCATTCCTCCCTCATTCCTCCCGCCTACCCTGAAAGAACCACCTGCTACCAAGCTTTCCTTCTTCCGCATCCACCGCCACCCCCTCCCCAAAGACAGGGCCTACTTCAGGCTTTCCCCTCGCCTCTCTCCTGACAAAATCCCGAAGAACGTTTGCCCAGGCCGGATAAACAGCCGTCCCTCACAGCCCAGCCCCTTCGCCAGCCCACCCGACCAGCACAACGGATTTCTCACCAGCCCTGAAGGCGACGACACCTCGACTAAGATGGCAGCCAGTCCAAGTCCAAGCTTAAGAGAGCGACTCCCAAAGCCGGGAGCCGAGGGCGCATGCTCCGAGAGAAAAAAAAGTAATGCTTGTGTGGGTGTGTGTTGTCACACGGACAAAGCTGAGCAGGACTACAATTCCCAGGAAGCTGCTGGACAGCGCCGGCGTGCTATAATAGACTCCCGGGTAGAACCGTCTGTGACAAAGGAGGTGAGTTCGATTCGCGCGCGGGGACGATGTCTCTCCTTACTGTTTTCCTTACCGTTTTCGTACTTGTGGCGTTTGTTCCCGAGAAAATAATTAGGAGAATCATGGGCTTGACAATATATTCCTTTAGTGGTGTTTCTCACTAAATGTTTGTCTAGCTCTGCAGACCTTTTGCTATTACATGGCTCTACAGTCAGAAATTTTTGACGCTAGAAATATATTTTTACTCCTTTAAACCCCCCCCCTTATTTGCATAGGTTTTATGCTGCCTATCAATATAATCTTTGTTTAATATTCAGCAGCAGATCAGCTTTTGTACTCTTATTTCTTCGTGTTCTGCCAGAGGTTCTTTGAAGTCTTCCTCGCTTCTATCTGTAAAAGTGGTACAATTATATACATTCCAGGACGTCATGCAGATTCTTCAACAGCAAATTAAACAGCCTGGTCTACTTAACGGGGTTTTTTTTTAAGGGCTACCACAATTTGTACAGTTCGACTCAGTCAAAAACCTTGTGTAATCAATAAAAAAAGGGGGGGAGAGGGAGGGGAGCTCCCTTGCCTTTTTCATTGTCAACCAGAAATTAGCAATGTGATCACAGGTACACTTGCATCTCATGAATGCATCGTTTATATCTATATCTGAAAGTCTTGTTCTATACATTATTGAAATATGAGTCACAACATCTTGAGGGCTGGTTTACTAACATACGAAATTAATGCAGGTGTTTGGTAGTTTGATAATTCTTTGACATTTCCCTTTTTGGCACTGGGATGTAAATTTATCTTTTTTAGACTTTCAGCCACTGCACGAAAACCCCATGTAGCACTTTGAATGCATAATCTTGAACGGTTTTAAACAATTCTGATATTTAACTAACCCCTGCAACTTCAATGATAGGAATATATTTCTGGTCCTGTTTAATTTCTTTTTCCAGAAAGCCTATCTTTAGTTCATTGATTAAACCACTATAACGAACATTGATTTTGTAATCATTTTGTACAGCTTTTCTATACGCATTCATGATATCTCTTATTTGTATCTTCCAAAGATTTTTTCTTTGTTTTTATTGTGCACATCTTTGCATAAAGTTTGCATAGTTTTCTTAGATACACATTTTATCCTTAATATCTTTGCACTGCTTATTTAGGCATGGCTGTGTTTTTTATGACCTAGGGGACCACTATTTTTGGTTTGCACTAAATGTATGTAATGAAATATAAAACCAAGAATGAAATTATGAAATAAGACAGGGTTTTAAATTCTAGAGTATAGTAGCATAATGTCCAACTTTTCTTTTAAAGTCTTCTCCATTTGTGCCTAAATCACGGCACAAACATACTCTGGCAATTTTCCCCCCATTTCATCTCTAGTTAATACGCGAGACATCTTTACGTTGTCCTTAGCTGCATTAGTGCAATTACTTCCGTACTGGATTGCTAAAAGGACTTGCGAGGAGCAAATCAGGTAATAAACGGCTTGCAAGCAATTTTGATCATAAATTGGCCAGCAGAGGGCAATCCAATGTCCATTCCCCAGCCGGATGTGTCGTCACAGCAGAATTTCCTTTGTCCGACATACACAATTCTAGCCAAGGTAAGGGGGGGGGGTCGGGTTTTTTTATTATTTATTTATTTATTTAAGAAGCTCCTTTTCCCGTTCTGGTTCGTTACGATAGCTGGGATCTCCAGTATTGACTACAGAGAAATGGCAGCATAATTATTTCGAGACGGAGAGAACGAAAGTGCATTCGTTCAGAAAGTAAAATCACTACAGGGGGCAGCAGGGGCGCAACTCCAGCCCGGAAACTGGAATGAAACCTTGCACCACAACGGCCCCTCTTTATTCCAGGGTTTCCCATCTATCTCGATTGCAGCCTAAGGACGGCCTTTCTCAAAAGGCAAATTATGCCTTACATTGGTACTGGAGTATTCATTGGGTACCAACAGAAGTTAATCTTGCTGCACAAATTAGTTTTGTAATGTTTACGGAATGATGCATAGTAAGAACCCTCCGCTCAAATATTTCAGAAAATGAACTCTTATCACAGTTACAGGTTTGGGTGGGGGGGGGGGATGATGGCAGAGAAACTGTAGAATCAGACTAACAGGAAGAGCAACTTGCTAAATGTATTACTTTTATCCCACCTTTATTAGTTGCACAAAGGGCATAGTACTTCTAAAATAGCCTTCCTTAATCTAGTATTGGTAAAGTGAATTGGGACCACAAATCCCTTAGAATAGGTTGGGAACAACTGTTCATAAAATGGAAACACATAAGTAAGAAGTGTTTGTGTTTGTGCACTAAATTACCAGTGTTACAAACATTGATAGTGGTTGTCAAAGGAATTTTTCACAGCCAGAAAATAACACAATTTCAAATAAGATTGAAATTGTGTAACAGTAAAGCTTGTCTCTTCTCTGTTCTTTGTAGCCCCCTCAATGTAGCAGATATTCAGTTTGGTAGAAAGATATAAGCCATTTTGGTTTCTCTTAATTCCAAAGAGCCATGCATTTTTTCTTTCTGTTCTGCCTTATGAGTACTAAGTGGTATAATCAAACCATCGACCCTCAGTGATGACATTTTTTATTGATTAAATTGTTGGAAATTGTTTATATATGTGGTGACCGATTATTTACCAAGCCACTGGTAAATTATTTTGTTTCTAGATAATATGAACTCCATCATAACATGATATTGTGAAGAACTATGAGGCAATGGCGAGAAATATACTCTGTGTCCAACTGGAACATACCATAAGGCAACGTTGGCAGAAAGTGTTGTACAAGAGGCAGTCATTTCCTGATAACTATGTGGATCAAAGTTTCTTAGAGAAGTTGCGCAAGAATATCCATGCACGCAAGTATCAGTACTGGGCAGTGGTGTTTGAATCTGGAGTGGTGATACAACAACTATGTAACGTCTGTGTCTTCGTGGTCATCTGGTGGTACATGGATATGGGCCTGTTGGCTCCCCAGTGGCTGTTTGGAGTTGGCTTGATTGCTTCCCTGATTGGTTATGTACTCTTTGATGCCACTGATTCAGGAATAGAAAGAAATCAAAGCGGCCGGACACGATGGGGAGATCTGAAGAATTCTGTGGTATTTGTGGCATTCACCTATGGCTTCTCTCCTATTCTGAAGACCTTAACTGAGTCTATCAGCACTGATACAATTTATGCTATGTCTGCCCTCATGCTCCTAGGACATCTGATCTTTTATGATTATGGGGCAAATGCAGCTATTGTGTCCAGTACACTGTCCCTCAACATGGCTATCTTTGCTTCAGTCTGCTTAGCCTCACGGTTGCCACGGTCCTTACATGCCTTTGTCATGGTGACATTTGCTATCCAGATATTTGCCCTATGGCCTATGCTACAGAAGAAGCTCAAAGCTCAAACCCCCCATTGTTACATGATAGCTACCTTACTCTTTGCTTTATCTGCCTTAATGGGACTACTAACCATTTCCAGTGTTGGCACTGTTCTTTTTGCCCTCCTTTTGATTGCCATCTCATGTTTGTGCCCTTACTGCCTCATTAGGCTGCAACTCTTCAAAGACAATATCCATGGGCCTTGGGATGAAGCTGAAATCAAGGAAGATCTATCCAAGTTTCTTATGTAGACCAGGAATCCACACTTTGGGGTTCAATTCTTCCAATTATCCTAGTCCCAGCTAATAAATGTTTATTAACTGAAGCAATTAAAGCAAGCAGGAATAAAATACCTTTGAAATGCCTGAGAACAATTTATTTATAACCTAATATTTTTCCAATAAAAGTGTTTTTTTTAATCAAGGACCACGTTGTGTATTTAGTTAAGTTCAGCTAATACATGTAAAAGTAATGCAGGCAGTCCTCATTTAGTGACTACCTCATTTAGTAACTATTCACAATTATGATGGTGATGACAAACTAAATCCTCACTTATATAATGTTTGCAGGTTTATAAAGCAAAAAAAAAAAAAGCTGAGGTAAGAGCATAAGCACAGGTGGTTTTACTTAATGGCTGCTTCACTTAATGACCAAGTTGCAGGTCCCAGTTGTCACTAAACAAGGACTACCTGTGAAACTGACAGTAACTTATCAAATTTCTACAATGGCTATTTTACCTGAGGGGCTGGTTTACAAATAAAAATCATAAAAATATACAATAGTAAACATTTTTTGGAGGTAGGGTGAGGGTTTTATGGGTTTTTATGTTGTGGATTTTTAATGTTGCAAGTCGCCTAGAGTCACTTGTGTGTGAGTTGGGTGGCCATATAAATGTGTTTAATAAATAAGTGGTGTTAAAAACATTAAAACAAGGTTAAAACATTAAAAATTACAAGGCAGAGGAAGTGCCCTTAAGCCATCAGCCAGCCCCAAAGTTGTATGACATTTTTCGAGCCTCCATGCCAGTTGTCAGAGCCAGGTCTTGAAGCCCTCCGAGTTTGTGTGCAGAATGGGGGCAGCCTCAACTCTGGGAGCAAGATATTCTATAGACTGGGAACAAAAACAGAGAAGGCTGTCTTCCTAGGACCCCCCCCCCCCCGAAACTTTGTGGAGTCTGCAACATACCTTCCTTGTGGGAAGGGATGGGATGAGTTGATGAAATAGAGATGAGGCAATTCTTCAGATAATATGATCCCATGCCATGAAGGGCTTTAATGAATACAATTATATATTTAAGTAAATGCCAGGTTCGGTTTAGCGCCTCACAGGCATCCTGCCATCAAAAGCTAAAATGCAGGGGTGAGGGGAATAGATGGGCAATAAAGTTGTGTGTGTACGTGATGGGAAATAGGGAAGGGGAAATGACAGGTGATAAAAACCAGAGCAGCTTGGAACCAGTTTGTAACACATCCAAGGCCAGGCACCCTGAGAAAGAATGTGGATTACCCTAAAACTTCTCAGTGTTCTCAAAACACTTTGGCAAGTTCTGATTGGCTGAAGATGGACTGGTCATGGGGGAAGGCTGGGATGAGGGAAACCTTTCCGTGTCTTTTGACTACAGGAAACCCAGAGCTAGCTGACTTTACTGCAGCCAATATCTTTTAATAAAAGAACCTTTTGCTTCAACCAAATGGAGTCGAGGATCTTTCTTTCCTAAGAGATCAGATTGGGGCAGGTCTGACATTAAACATAAATTTGACTAATGGGGACAAATTACAAATAGTTATGACACAGTATGAAAGTTGTTTGCCCTTGTATTATTCCAGTTGTTTTTCTTCCAATTCAAGTTTAGTTACCATGCATAAGTAGTAGATCATCATTTGCTCCAAATCTGGCATCGAAGTCACCAGCTATAATAAGCAGGTATCTGAAGAGATACCTAAGATAATATTCCTACAAAGTATCCCATATACAGGTAAAAATGTAAGATGTCAGTTGTTGAGATATGTAAATACTAATTAAAGTAGTTAGATCACAATGGAACAGCCTGCCCCTTGGCATCATGTGTGACCATTACTTGAGGTTTTAAAGCAAACATTGGACAGCCATTTGGGATAATACGAGGATTCCTGCCCTGGGCAATCTTATAATTCTATAACCTATTTTAGTAATTTTCATTAATTATAATTTGACACTCCTAGATGTTCTGGTTAAAGTTTCAACCAAATACACTACTTCCAAACCCAGTACCAGTTCTGGTTTGGTCATAAGTGTACCGCAAGTAGATCTAGATCAGTTTTGCACAATATATATAGCCCATTGGCTATATGCAATCTGTCAAACAGTCTTGTTTGGCCCATTGATTTTCTTTTTTTAAAAAAGTAAACTTACACCCTTCCTGAAAGACATGCTGATGAGCACCTCCAAGTCTTGCACTTATAGGAGATTTCTTGCTCTCATTCTGATTCTTTATGAGATTAATGCTATGCATGTCTACTGTGGCACACAAGAACTTCCAGGATTGGTGGTGGTTTGTTCTCCAAGCTTCTGAATTTTTTATCACCAAGCTAGATGACATCCTCAGTGGGACTTTGGTTAAAGCATTCTGTTTCAGTTCTTAATCACTTTTATTGATGTCATGGTCAGTGGTCCATGACATCATGTGTGACCAGTTGGTCGTGCCATGTGATCTGTCAGCTGGTCATTGTGTGTGAAAGCCAGCAAATGAGGTGATCAGTACCATCGCTGGTTGGTTGATTGATATGGCTCTTTATAGGTTCACAGGCTGACTCCAAATCAACTTATTTGTTGATAAATCCATTGGTTGAATACTGGGCTTCAATGAATTTGCATGCATGGCATGTGGTAGAATGGCCAATGATTTTTGTTCCATCCTAGTCAAACTGGTGCTGCTTGATGTCAATGTGAGTTGAGATCAGGGATTTGTGGTCATGTTGTTTGACAGCTAGTCAGTGTTTGTGGATTCTTGTTTCCAGTTGACCTGTTTGCCCAACATAGAATTGTTGCATTTGTTTGCCCAACATAGAATCATTGCATTTGATCTTGTAGATTACGTTGCTGTCCTCCTGTATTTTATCTTTGGTTTAGACCAGCGGTTCTCAACCTGGGGGTCGCGACCCCTTTGGGGGTTGAACGGCCATTTCACATGGGTCGCCAAAGCCCTGTCTCGCCCCCCCACACGCCTTCACTCACCCTCATTTTCTGCTCTGTTGGATCACCGGTCGTTCGTTTACCCCGCCCACTCCCAATCTATTGCTGCCTCCTGAGTCCCATCCTTCCAATTGTTCTTATAAACATTTCCAGATCACCTTATTTATCTTATGTGCACCTATTCTAATTTGTGCAAATTTATCCTAAAGTATGGTGCCTAGAATTGGATAGAATACTCAAAGAGGGATTTAGTTCATAATTAAAATAAATATTACTTCTCATGATTTGATAGATTTCTGTCAATGCAACATACAACTGCGTGTCTTTTTGCAGTCATATTACATTGCTGAATCACATTTAGTTCAGTGGTGGGTTGCTACCGGTTCGCCCCGGATCTGGCAAACCGATAGCGGCGGCGGGATGCTTCGCCCACCCTCCCGGACATCTCTGTGCAAGTGCAGAAGCATTGCATGTGAGTGCGCGCGTACCCACGAACAAACCGGTAGTGACGGGATTTGAAACCCACTACTGATTTAGTTGGCAATCAACTATTCTATGACTGAGTTCACAAGTATTACCAAGCCAAATATCCCCCAAACTATACCAATTCATTTGCTTTCTTTTTTTCTAAATGAAGTATTTTACACCTGTCTCAGTTAAATTTCATTATGCTACTTTCAGTACATTGAGATAATTTTGAATTTTATTTCTGTCTTCCAGAGCATTAGCTACCCTACACAATTTTATGTATCTGCAAATTTGGCAACATTCTCAATTTCTCTTCACCTTTTCATCTAAGTAATAAAAATATTGAAGAATACAGGATCCAAGAGACAACTTTGATACACCTCAATTGTCTTCCTTTTGGAATATGCCCCATTTCCTCTTTTTCTATTCAACCAGACCTTTCCAGATAAAATAAGTACACAACAATTTTAGCTATTTTTCTCTTATTTTAATGCTTATTTAAAAATGTGTTGCTGGCTGCTTTGAATGTTCTCTGGGCTGAAAGGTAGAATATAAATTGTGTGTTCGTATGCATATAAATGTTGTTTGTTTGGCTTGGCTTAGTTTGTCGGGTATACCCAGTTACTGAACTGTTATAAAAACAAATGAAGCTATGACTACAAATGTAAGAAAATTGTTTAACAGAGAATGCAGTTGGAGTGAGACTTGCTGGTGTTTTTTTTCTTAGCCCAAACTTGCCTGGTTCATACCTATGAGAATATGCTGTCAGCCAGAAGAGTTGGAAGATGCTAATTAATAAGCATATTTTACATTCCATTTTAGCTACTCTGCCCACTTTCAGGTGAATCAAAGAAAAAAATAATAGACCTTCTAGTCCTAATAAAAAAAACCCTAAGTCTTCTGTTCAGGATGGAGGTAATGATCACTTCCTGAAGAACAAATACAATGAAGAGAAGGACAGGTAATTAATCTGGCAATTGCAAGTATGTCAGTAATGTCTGACTCTCCAATCCACTACTGGTAGGTAAGAGAGATAATTTTCTGGTGTCTTAAAAAGGAAATGACACCATCTAAAAAGTATACACTTTATTGGGGGAGGGGGGAATAAACACCATCACTAATCAAAAAATTGAAGAATTACAGGGCTGGCCTTAACTGCATTTATTTACAGGACCCAATCATAAGATTAAAAATAAAGGACTTAAAGAATTATTTTTTATTTAAAATTACAGATTTGCAGATAAAATTTGGTGATTTGACTGAATTGTGAATTAGTAAGGCCTCTTCAATTACTACATTAGAAAAAATTACAATGTTGAATTAATGGGACATCAGAGGCAGGAATCACAATTCTATGAAACTTGTTTGGATGTTATCGCTTATCTCGGTATCAATAAATTATAACCAGGCCCTGGACCTACCACTATAATTGAACCCAAAATTACAGTTGTAAATCATTACAGTTGTGTGTCAAGGGACCCACATGACTGGAAGTAATTTTCCAGGCTTTCTCATGTTGGCCATTAAGTGAACACCATGGTTGTTAAGTGAACCTATTGATTTGATTGGGCTTTTTTCGTAGAGACTGGCAAAAAAAACCATCATTAATTGGGGCCATGTGACTGCAGAACAACACAACCAGTCATAAAACTGATCAGCCTAACTTGGTTATGTGACCATGAGTGGGGGGTGTGTGTGTGCAGCACTACCATTTATGATGGGCCATAAAGCACCCATTCCATGGCTGTTGTAACTTTGACCAATTGTAAAATGTAAAATG